AGGTTGACAGTGTAACTTTTGAAAAGGAGGTTAATAATGCAGTTGTTGAAGAGTTAATGAAATCCGAGGATGATCAGTATCCAGAATCTGGAGAGCTTGATGATGAAACAGTTGAAAAGGAGGTTGATGCTACATCTGTTGAACATGTGTTTGTGGAATCTGAACAAGATGCTGTCTCTTATACACATCTGCTACATTTGTCGAACAGGTGTTAGTGGAATCTGACCAAAATCAGTATCCTGCATGTGAAGACATTGTGGATGTAACTGTTGAAAAGGAGGTTGTTGACGAAGAAGAGTTCATAAAATGTGAGGATATTCAATATCCGGAATTAGAAGAGGCTGATGATGTAACAGTTGAAAAAGAAATTGATGCTACATCTGTTAAACAGGTGTTTGTGGAATCTGAACAAGATCATTATCCAGAGTGTGAAGAGGTTATGGATGTAACGGTTGAAAAGGAGGTTGATGCTGCAGTTGTTGAAGAAGAATTATTGAAATCTAAGGATGATCAACATCTAGAATCATCAGAGGTTGATGATATAGCAGGTAAACAAGAAATTGATGCTACAACTGTTGAACAAGTTTTTGTTGAATCTGAGCAAGATCAATATCCAGAAAGTGAAGAGGTTAAGAATGTAACTGTTGAAAGGAAGGTTGATGCTGCAGCTGTTGAAGAAGAATTAATGAAATGTAAGGATCATAAACATCTAGAATCAGGAGAGGTTGATGATATAACAGATGAAAAAGAAAGTGTTGAACAGCTGTTAGTGGAATCTGAACAAGATCAGTATCCTGCATGTGAAGACATTGTGGACGTAACTGTTGAAAAAGAGGTTGTTGACGAAGAAGAGTTCATAAAATGTGAGGATATTCAATATCCGGAATCAGAAGAGACTGATGATGTAACAGTTGAAAAAGAAATTGATGCTACATCTGTTAAACAGGTGTTTGTGGAATCTGAACAAGATGATTATCCAGAATGTGAAGAGGTTAAGGATGTAACGGTTGAAAAGGAGGTTGATGCTGCAGTTGATGAAGAAGAATTATTTAAATCTAAGGATGATCCACATCTAGAATCAGGAGAGGATGATAATATAACAGGTGAAAAAGAAATTGATGCTACATCTGTTGAAAAGGTGTTTGTGGAATCTGAACAAGATCATTATCCAGAATGTGAAGAGGTTATGGATGTAACAGGTGAAAAGGAGGTTGATGCTGCAGTTGTTGAAGAAGAATTATTGAAATCTAAGGATTATCAACATCTAGAATCATCAGAGGTTGATGATATAGCAGGTAAACAAGAAATTGATGCTACAACTGTTGAACAAGTTTTTGTTGAATCTGAGCAAGATCAATATCCAGAAAGTGAAGAGGTTGAGAATGTAACTGTTGAAAGGAAGATTGATGCTGCAGCTGTTGAAGAAGAATTAATGAAATGTAAGGATCATAAACATCTAGAATCAGGAGAGGTTGATGATATAACAGATGAAAAAGAAAGGGATGCTACATCTGTTGAACAGCTGTTAGTGGAATTTGAACAAGATCAGTATCCTGCATGTGAAGACATTGTGGACGTAACTGTTGAAAAGGAGGTTGTTGGCGAAGAAGAGTTCATTAAATGTGCGGATATTCAATATCCGGAATCAGAAGAGGCTGATGATGTAACAGTTGAAAAAGAAATTGATGCTACATCTGTTAAACAGGTGTTTGTGGAATCTGAACAAGATGATTATCCAGAATGTGAAGAGGTTAAGAATGTAACAGTTGAAAAGGAGGTTGATGATGCAGTTGTTGAAGAAGAATTATTGAAATCTAAGGATGATCAACATCTAGAATCAGGAGAGGATGATAATATAACAGGTGAAAAAGAAATTGATGGTACATCTGCTGAACAGGTGTTTGTGGAATCTGAACAAGATCAATATCCAGAATGTAAAGAGGTTGCAGATGCAACTGTTGAAAAGGAGCTTGATGCTGCAGCTGTTGAAGAAGAGTTCATGAAATTTGATGATCAATATCCAGAATCAGAAGAAATTGATGGTACATCTGTTGAACAAGTGTTTATGGAATCTAAACAAGATCAATATCCAGAATGTAAAGAGGTTGAGAGTGTAACTATTGAAAAGGAGGTTGATGCTATAGTTGTTGTAGAAGAGTTTATGAAATCAGAGGATGATCAATATCCAGAATCAGAAGAGGTTGATGTAACAGTTAAACAAGAAATTGATGCTACATCTGTTGAACAAGTGTTTGTGGAATCTGAACAAGAGCAATATCCAGAATTAGATGAGATTGATAGTGTAACTGTTGAAAAGGAGGTTGATGATGCAGTTGTTGAAGAGGAGTTCGTGAAATCTGAGGATGATAAATATCCAGAGTCAGGGGATGTTGATGATGTAACAGATGGAAAAGAAATTGATGCTACATCTGTTGAACAAGTGTCTGTGGAATCTGAACAAGATCAATATCCAGAATCAGTAGAGGTTGACAGTGTAACTTTTGAAAAGGAGGTTAATAATGCAGTTGTTGAAGAGTTAATGAAATCCGAGGATGATCAGTATCCAGAATCTGGAGAGCTTGATGATGAAACAGTTGAAAAGGAGGTTGATGCTACATCTGTTGAACATGTGTTTGTGGAATCTGAACAAGATGAGTATCTAGAATGTGAAGATGTTGAGGATGAAATTGCCAAAAAAGAGGTTGTTGGTGCAGCTGTTGAAGAGAATTTAGATTCTAAGAAAGATCAGTATCCTGAAGAAGTTGATTATGTAGTGGTAGAAAAAGAGGAGGCTGCTGTAGATGTTCAAGAGGAATTTGTTGAATCTGAAAATCAGTATCATGAGAATGAAGAGGTTGAAAATGTAAGCGGTGAGATTAATGCTCTAATTGGTGTTGAAAAAGAATCTGACAAAGTTGATGACAGAATTTTTGAAGAGGAGCATAAAGCTGTATCATTTGAAGACGATGTTGAGAAATCTAATAATGAACAATATCTTAACTCTGAAGAAGTTGGTTTTGTAGCTGTTGAAAAGGAAGTTGAAGCTGTAGTAGTTGAAGAAGAGGTTGTTGAAAATAACAAGATAGTTGAACAAAAACCAGAGGATGAATTAGTGACAGAGAGTGTTATTGAAGCTGTTTGTCAGGATGAAGTTGATTTGCCAAATCTTGAGGATAAACAATACCCAGACACAGTTAAGAGAGAAGATCAAATTTTTGAGCAAGAGGAAAGTGGTATTAAAGTGGGGATGAATGATACTGTTGATGCTGAAATTTTGATAACTAAGGATGAAATTGAAAAAGAGCAGATGATAGAAAATGTAAGTGAAAAAGGAGTGCCAGATTTTGAACACATTTCCCAAGAGAAGACAACAAGAATTTCAGACTTTGCTAAGTGTTTGGAGACCTTTTCAGATGATGACACTCATGAATATGAGGCTAATGAAGGACAGACGTATGTTTTAGATGAAGTGGTTATTGAAGATGTCACTGAGCAAAGAATTGAGACTGTGAAAGTTATAAACACTGACTACATAGAAGATAACAATGAGAGTAATGCTGTTTCCCATACTGAAGCATTAGTGAATCTCTCTGCTATAATGCAGGATCAAAGTGAGGAAGTTCACTTATCAGATATAGAAAGCTTATCTAGTGAGCATGAGTTAGCTAATGAAGTGATAGATGCACCAAAAATAGGAGTTTGTGATGAACTCCCTAACCCTGCCATTGACCAACATCCTGGCCATGTTGAACCTTTTGATGATGGTGATGAATTACTTCAAGTAGATGAATGTCATGAAAAGGGGAAAAAGGTATCTGTTGATATTGATAGCTTAACTAGTGAGCATGAGTTAGTCGATGAAGTGATAGATGCACCAAAAATAGAACTCGGTGATGAACTTTCTAACCCTGCCATTGACCAACATCCTAGCCATGTTAAACCTTGTGATGGTGGTGGTGAATTATTTGAAGTAGACGAATGTCGTGAAGAGGTGAAATCAGCTGATCAGGATTTGATTGGTGTTGAGGTCAAGATTCAGACATTAAAAACAATTTCAGTTGACACAGAATCAAAAACACTAAGTGATGTACAGCTTACACAGTCTGATGATACATCAACAGTTAGCACAACAGAGAGTAGGTCTGAAGCAGTTAGCTCTTTGAGTATCGAACAACTGACTTTCCAAAGTTTAAATGAAAATGATAATGAATCTGAAAAAGAGATGAAACACCAAAAATATACATGCGAAATATCTCACACAGAAGAATATGAGAAATCTGTTGATATTGGTGAAACAATATCTACTCATACTGATGGGTCCACATCCTACAGAGAGGAATTAGACAGTCAAAGTATTAAGCCCCAATCTCAAGAAAAGGTTGACGACTTTCACATGGAAGTTGATGATACCCAGAAAGAGATTGATGAGGCTCAGGGGGATGTTGACATGTCTCATATGGAAGTTTCTAAGTCTTTTTCTGATCAACTGGATGTGTCAGAGGATTTCTCCACAGATGTTGTTGAGAGCTTTTCTGAGGTATGAAAAATGACTGTGTCTATATCCCCTGGTTTTTTTTTGTGAAGATGTCTTTACCTTGATAATTGTTGTCACTGTGATTTGTACACTCCTGTCTTGTTCTTTAGATCCAAATAATGAATCACTTCTAAATTATATATTTATTTTTTATGCAGTTAATTTTGCAATTATGTATTTATATTTTTTTAGGTTTAGAAACCACTGTTGCATTATATCTGCTTTTAATCACCATAAAGCAGCAATAGCTAGTTCAGCCTTTTGTTTACTTTGTGTTTTAGGATATTTGTTGTACCATTTTATCACACTACAGCCAGCCTTGCTTTAAGCGAAAATAGTTCAAAAACTAACATTTAGAAATATGTAGTATAGTATTCCAATTTATGTACAATCCATCCAATATTTTCTTTAATTTTTTTTTTCTTTTTATTTACACTGAACCATGCACATTTGCTTTTATTTGCAGAAGTTAATAGAAGAGATATTTCATGTAAGAAACACTTTGCTGTTTAAAATTGTTTGCATGAAATTTGTGTTGTTGACAAACTAACAGATTATTGATACTAAATGTTTTTTCCCAAGATTGCCAATAATCCTCTTTAGACCAGGCAATTAATTACAGTCTGAATTTTGAAATTATTTACTTAATTTTGATTTTAATGTAGTTTTATTGATAAATTTACCTTGAAAGGTTTTGGGACTTTTAAAGAAGTGGTGCTTGAATAGCTTATAAGGAATACCCAAGAACTCCAGAATCATATGAGAAAAATTATTTGATTGTTACTGTAAATAATTAGTTAATTATCATAATCTACAAGTTGTCATTTGAGTTTAGTAGTAATTTAGAGTATGTATTTTTATATTGTAAAACACAGCTTTTCACTAGATTCAATGTAGGAAGCAACTGTAGTAGAAGTCACCAGGCAATGTTGCTTCTTGTTTTTAGCACAAACCAAAAATGAAAAGAATACATTAAAACAAAAAGGTTGTATATTAATTACATTATCTTTTTATTTTAGGATGCCCAACGAGAGTATATGACTTGGAGAGAAACACAGGTTGGTAATGTAATAAGCAAAAAACAATTTTAACTATAAACTTCTAACAATGTAATAGTTGGTTAGCCGATTAGATATTCATTGTTTAACATACGTAAAGTAATTTTTAGTCACTTTAAGAATTGTTTATATCCAGTAGTAACATTTAAATTTACATGTATATTTATGTGTTAGTACATTTAATTAATTTCTGAGCATGTTGTAAAGTTGCATGTTAATTTTTGACATATTTTAATGAACATTTTAACTCGAGCAACTTACTAAGTAGTAACATTTATCAACTGTTAAATTTTGTTCAATTGTAGAGCAATTTTGGATAACCATTATCAAAGCATGTTAGCTTTTGTACAGCGATTAGAATTCCATGGCTTTGCATCCAATATGTTTCTTGTTTTTTCCCTATCATGTGGTCCATTTAGGTTAAGATTGAAAGTAGTATTGACAAAGGTAATATCAGCTTGGAACAGTCAGAAGAAACAGAGGTATGTTAGTTAATAAACTTACTTTTTTTAAAAAACTTATTGAATGAATAGTAATGATTTGTAGAAAATTTTCAACATGTTCATGTTCAGTAAGCCTGATATACGTAAACATTTATTTCATTCATAAAAAACTAAATCAATCGTTTCATTTCTATGACGTTATTCATACTAATACCATTCATATTCATACACATATTTAATCATACTGTAAAATTGGTAATTTTTGCGTGTGTAAATTTTTGCGGTTTGCTACCCTATCACCATATTCACGCATTGTTATTTACGCGAATTTCAATTTTTTTATCTACCGTATATTTCCGATGTATAAGCCGCACCTGTGTATAAGCAGCACCTATTTTTAAGCTCCAAATCATTCCCAAAATGTTTTTAATTATTTTGAAACATTGACATTATTTACAAATGTTCAATAAAGATATTTCAACTTTATCCACCCGATTATTAAACAACAAACAACTGAAATGTGTGTATAGTCCTGGCTATCTGCAATGAAACAATGTATTGTTCTTGCTAGGGAATTCCCCATTTCTCAATAGACTGTCATGATGTATTAATTTTCAACAATCAGTTTAGTTTAAGTTTAATGAAATCTAATACAATAAAATACTTTGTGAGTATATTTATCTATCATTCAATCAATCATTCTATTATTATAGTGACTAATAACAGCCAGTATTGAGCTAAAAATATTGGTATGTAATTCTAGGCCTAAGTCATTACTACTCAAGCCACTCTGCGAGCATGCAACAGGATGCACTACGTTTTGTAAACAAACCGAGAAATACCATGCGATACAAAGTTTATGTATGGACAGATGACGTGTGCTTTTCTACCATTAAATTCAAGTAAAAAATATTACAAACTCGTGCTTTTATAGCACAAATTAAGTTTTTATCTAAATACCGCTGCATAGCGCAGTACATTCTTTCTATAACGGTACTAGCCAACGGGAAACAGACGTCGTACAGCATTTTTCAACCAGTTCACCACCAACCATGTGTGTTTTGTTGCGACATTCGTGAAGCTGCTCACGTGACCTCGAGAACCGAAAAATTGTTTGTTTTGATCGAAGCAGGTTCAAACAGAAACGTGTTTAAAACATTGTTTATGAATGAACGTAATATGAAAATAATTACAGTATCTAGCCTACCCGAGCCCTACCTGAGCCCTACCTATGATGACTTAGACTTGAGCCATGGTGTTGCTTGTGTTTACAGTATGTTGAAGAGTTTTAATTTTCGCGCGAATGTATTTATGCGATGTTTTTATTTTCACGGTTGCTCCTTTGTACCCGAAAAGCACGAAAATTAATGTACCACGAAAATTACCACTTTCACAGTATTTGAAAAGTAATTTTATAAAAATTGAGTTTTTAACAAATTTACATTTTATTGATTTCTTGTGACATAGCCTGGCTGTGTCTTGGCTTTTGTAAATTTGATTACTGTTAGAATAATAACAACATCTAATTTTTCCCCTTTAGATACATGAGAAGGACTACACTACAACAGGTGATTGTAAAGAAGAGATACAAATGGAAGAAAATGCAGGTGTTACAGAAGAAGGTTTAGAACCTTGGCATGACTCGAGTGAAAGTGATACTGACAGAAATAACCAAAGTACACAAGAAGAACATCAAAACGATGTGTCAGGATCGCCAACAACTCCAGAAATCATAGAACTCACTGACAAATCGACCCACATTTTCCCAGAGCTTGAGTGTCTGAAAATGTATGATGTATACCAGCCTCCAACCCCTGTGGAGGATTTAGCATCAGAAAGTGATAAAAGAGAGAGCTTTGATGTTCAGACAAGTCATATGAAGCTAACACAAGAGGAAGTCACAATTATAGAGGGAGAATATAGTGTTGAATATCCGGAGGATGCAACATTGGAAAAAGTTTCAGACGAAGGTGATGACTCTTTTCGTACTTGTTCATCCACATTGGGATTAAAGGAATTTATCAGCAGCACTCAGAATGTTGGGGCAATATCTGATTTGGATGACCAAGAGGAATCCTCATTAGCAGAAATTACATCAGAGTTAGAGCATGATGATGACATGCCATGTGATAGAAAAATTGAGATCCAAAAAGACATTCAACCTTCAGAAGAGCAACATCCATTAATACACAAGACTAATGAAGACCTAGTTAAAGATCAAGAAACAGATGAGCATGAACTATCACTTGAGAGAACTGAGAATGAGATAGGATGTGGTCTGGATGAAGTATTAGAAAAACAGCCAGATCAACAGGAACCATTGTTTAATTCCCCTAAATATTCACCAGCCACAGAAGTTAGATCAACAATACTTCAAGGGAATGAGACAACATGTGTTCAAGGTGGAGAAGGTAATATCCTCGTTACTGATGTACATTCCTATGAGCATGAACCATCAGTTGATGCTTCTGTAGATGCATCAGTAACAGAAATGACATCAACAATGCCTCAGGAGTTTGATACGAAATGTTATCAAGATGCAGAAGAGCAAGAGCTATTCGTTGATTCTCCTGAGGTCCCACCAGTTATAGAGATGGCATCATCGGTGCTGCAGGGAGATGAGTCAACATGCGATCAGGATACACAATATAAAACCCAGATATCTGAGGAATATCCATGTGATGCTGCTGAAGACCCACTAGTTGCAGAATTAAAACCAATAGTAAAACAAAACAAAGAGACAGCATCAGCATTGCCACAGGTGGATGATACTTTATGTGATCAAGGAGAAGTTAAAATTTTAGTTTCAGAATTTGAAGATCCAGATAAGCAAGAGCAAACAGAAGAGACCACTAAATACACACCAGTCACATTAAATGTGCTACAAGGGGAAGAGACAACATGTGATCAAAATACAGGTGCTACAGTCAAGGTATCAGAACATCAAGAAATGAAAGAACAAGACTCAGGAAGTATTGAGGCATCAGCATTAACAGAAATTACATCAACAATGATTAAAGGTAGTGATGAGGAAAAAGAGGAGGCTTACCAGATTGAACCATCAGTTAGTCAACAGCAAGATGTGTGGAAGGTTAAGGAGGAATCTCAATTTGAATGTGATATTGTCACTAATGTAGAAGTCAAAGAATATGCATCTGATAAGGATTATACTTCAGAATTGTTGGAGAAAGACATTGCTTCAGAATTGTCTGAGATGGATAGTGACAGACATGAGGTAAACCCAACTGAAGGTACTTGTATTGAAGTTGGAACAGAGTTTGACATGCACACAGAAACCAAAGAAATCAACATACCAACATCATCCAATATTCAGGATCAGGCAGTTGATGTACAGTTAACACCAAGTCCTCCTGCAGACTTAGAAATAGCAGATGAAATTAACTCATCTAAAGATCCTGAAACTCCAGAAATTTCAGAATTGCCAGACACTCCAGAAACATTTGGTGACAGTAGTAACACCGAAGGTGAAAGTCCTCTTGTACTGTCTGGAAATTGGCCAAAGTTTTCTCAAGATTCCACCCGACAACCAGTACAGCAAATACATGTCCTTACAGAATCATTATCTGCTGTTAGTAGCATTGAAATATCAATGGAATCATCTGAAAAAACAAAAGAATTCTTTAATGGCCCAACAGAACAAGATTATTATGATCAGTCCTTGGCTGAACCATCCAGGAATCAAGTAGAGGCTGTTGAAGAAAGTGCAGGAGCTGAACCCATTTTGAGCGAACAAGAAGCACATTTATTCTTGCATCGAGATGACCCAGAGAAAGTTGAGGATAAATTTTGTGAAGCCGATCATTTAACAGGACCTCCTGAAGTAGAATTTGAAGGGCTCTCACACCTTGATGAACCAAAAGATGACATTGACACTTGTGATACTCATCATTTGCCGGAAACACCTGGTCCTGTTTCAACAACTGACAGTGATAATAAAGTTGAAGATAAGCAAGAAGATGAAACTGACTATTCACACTACAATGTTCAGGTAAGACTAACCTCTGAAGAAATAACATCTGCATGTGGTTTTACTAACTCAGAATGCATGCCAGCAGTATATGCAGATTCGGGAGAGACGAAACTTGGAGAAGTTGTCATCTTACAAAGTCAAAGTGAATCTTCAAGCTTTGTTGAAAGTATTACCACCACTGATAATGAGCAAACACTAAGGACCGCTGAACTCGCTTCTTCATCATTTAATCGGCAGACACAGTTTTCAATTGAAACTGAGCAAAGTTTGTCATCAACTTCTGTAAAAAAGTCACATGAATCCAGCTGTATTGAAATAAAAAAAGAATCACAAGAACAGACATCAGTAGAAAATACATGTCATTCAAGAGAGTTGGAATCAGGGACAGAAATTGTTGGTGCCGTTGGAGGTTCAGAACTGACTTCCCCAGAAACACCAGATGCAATTCTAACTAGAGATCTTACGCATGTCAGGAGAAAACACAGAGACCTACATGCTTACAATGAATCCGAGGGTCGTATCAGCAGTTTCTATTCCTTCAACACCGTCTCTCAGACATCCAAAAGTGTGAAATCTAGCAAGAAATCAAAAGCAAGTTCCTCTAAAAGTGTTTCTAGTCTGAAACGAGCAGTTTCTTTGCAAGAAACCACAACACCTTCATCCTCCACAAATTCCAAAGGGAGTCGTAAAGTTTACAAGAGGTCTATCAGCGAGAGAGTGCGCTCAATAGATGATTCACCTATGCAGGAGGTATTTCAATGCCAAAGATTCAAACCTTTTGTATCGGTGTTGTCTGGTGAAAGTCTTCTTTCTTTTCTTCATATTCTCATTATCTTTTACATTTAACAATGTATTGTCTTAGCTTTTTAGATTTAATGCTTCTTTAACTATCTCTTTTCAACTTTTGTATCATTAGAAATAGTTTGGTGTGGATATGTGTCTTTTTAAAAATATGTATAACATGTAACAGATAACATTGTAAATTCTTCATAAGGTACTGTATACAATCAATGATTTACAGACATGCTACAAAAATCCTTAAATGTGCTAGCAGGAGTTCAATGGTATATTCCAACACTAAATAAGTGTTATAATTTCAACATTCATTAATTGGCTTCTAATTCTAATTATTAGTTGAAAGCATTTAATTCATTTTGTGAATTTTTAAGATAGTTTTTCGAGCTAGTATGCATTTAAAATTCTTGTGCAATATTGAAAATACCAAGTAATATTAAATATTTAATTGTTAGTGAATGACCCCTGTCTCTTATACACATCTAGATGTGTATAAGAGACAGATATATATATATATAATGTATTTTATTGGTTCAACAGGTGTTTAAAAGTGAAACAAAGCAAGACGATCTTTATTCTGAGTTACATGGCGTATCTCAATATGTTGGCGAGGTAACAGATTCAGCCTAGCATGTTGACACGCAACTCCTGCACAGCACGTACTCTCCCACCTACAGATGTATCCACCCTTGTCTTGAGGCTGAAGCTAAGAACTTGCTAGTCAATATTACCTTTCCTATCATTTTTTATATATTTTTGCTACAAATGCTGCCATCTTACTAAAATAGTCTTGCTTATTTTAAGTCAGGTTTGCCTGTTAGATGTTTCACAGTTATGTAGTTTTGTAATCATGTATTTTTATTTATATGGTTTGGTTTTATAATGTTTTTTTTCTTGGAATTGTAAATCATAGCAGTCATTTTCTGATTCATTTTATTCATGGTGTAACAAATATATGTATACACTTGCTTTTAAAGAAATTTTGAGGATGTTGTATTGTGTATGGACATTTCTTTAAGTCATCCCATTTTCCATTTACTCACCTTCATTAGATGCTTGTAATAATCAAAGCTTTTAATAATTAATATAATAATTAGGGTTTTTTAATAAAAATAATCTCCTCAATAATTTTATAGAAGACAAGTATATAATAAATTCAATTATTTGTCCATTAATTATTTTTATTATCAAACCAATGTAATCATTGTAATTTATAAAGTATAATTTATAAAGTATAAATATATTAATAAGGAAAATTAACTTGACCTCTTAAATAAGTAGCTGTTTTATATCATGGTGCTCTTTTGATAAATTATTAATTTTAAACATAAATAGGTGTACAGAAGAATGCTTTTGATGTTGATGACATCATAGTTAGGCATAAAAATAATGCTTGATTACAATAATATTGAAAATGATATTTAACATTAAAAATTGTTGTTTATATAATAAAATTTAAAGGCAATTAATAAAATAGGTTTCTTTTAAAAGAAATGTTACCAGATAACATTTATGTATGAAACGAAGGAAAAATGTCAAATTCATTCTTTTCATTTTTTTTAGTAATATATTTTTTACTTCCAGATATCACAACCTATCGAGTTGTACAATTCTTCGTGCTTTATTTTACTTAATTCATCGTATGTAAGTCAAGTGTCCACCACTTGCTAGGCTGCTGTGGTTACTTACACTGTTTGCTGTCAGACACAGTAGAATATATGTATTAGTATTTTTGATATGGAAAGTGTTTTCACCTCTTCCTAAAAAATATTTACATGCCAGCAGTTTACACTGTTATATTCCCAACATAGTGATATTAATTTTTTGATATTTATTATACATTTAATATTTTTGCTCTTTCAGTTTTCCTGGATAGTTTGATGGTTTGCATGATTTTTGTTTTCTTTTAATTGTGTATTCTAATTTTATCTGCCTTTTAATACTCTTATTTTTATTTCATATTATTATTATTATTATTATTATTATTATTATTATTATTATTATTATTATTTTTATTGTCAGTATTGTTGTTATTTATATTGTTATTGATATAATATTATCTGGGTCTTCATTGATATGTTTGAAAATAATTATATTAATATGTTAATTTAATACCATGACCATAATAATATATTATCATTATTCTTTATTATTTTATTTCTTATTGTCTGGATAGATATTCAAACTTGTATGCCTTTGCTAAAAAAACACATAAATAAAAGGACATTTTTTACTAAGATTCATACAAAAATGTTTTGTTTGCTTACCATTATTATAAAAATAATAATATTAATTTAACTCAGTTGTAAATAATATTAATGATATTTTATCTTTACTTTTGCAGGTTGTTCTCTGAAACATTCTTTATATCTTTATATTCTTCACTTAATTTTATTTTCTCTTACATTCATCATTCTTCAAATAAATTATTTTTAGATCATTCATCTTGTAAAATCATTAAAAAAATCCCCAATCCTCCAAAATGTCTAATACTACTCATATTCTGTGCTCATTAAAAGTGAATGACCCCTTCCCAGCCCCCATCTATACTTATTATAACCTCTAAAATTATTATTTTACCCTTTTTCCACCCCTGCTTTGTTTGGTTTTCACAACTCATCCGTGTTTGTGAAAATGCTGGTAGTTTCAGTTGGCTTTCAGTAAAAAAAAATTTAATGCTTACAGTTGACTAAAAGTTATGAAATGAGATGCAGTTATGTGTGAAGGGAGTGTTTGTGAGATGGGAGAACAGTGAGAAGTTTTTTTGTTTGTTTTTTTTTTCATTTATGAAGAGATTTGTAGGCCACTGTTTTTTTCTTCTGTTGTGTTGATTTTATTGTCAATAATTAACTATAGAATAGTGTGTATACAATGGAATTACTATACATGCAGACACATGTATGTATATTTTCTCTATATATATACATATATATATATATATATATATATATATATATATATATATATATATATATGTATCTAATATTTTATTTGTTGCTCATTCTCTTACTCTCTTTGATTGTCATTTGTAGATTATGATTTGTATGTTTATTCACGGCAGCTATTTAGCTTTAAAATCACATTTATATTTCATAAAATTGATTTATATTGTGCACCAATTTATTATTTTTCTCTTCAAAATTTTTTCGTTTGATAACATATTCTTTCATATTGATTAAATTTGAATCAGAATAAGTATAATAATAAATAAAATACATAGATTTAATATCTAATAATAATTATAATATTTGTGACGTGTTGCCATGAGACTCAGACAAAGTAGGAAATTATTTAAACATTAATTTGAAATGAGCAATTGATTTTGAAGTATCAATATAAACACAGCTAAGAAAAACAGCTTTAAGTTTCATTGTCTATCCACAGATTGCATGGTTCAGACATAATTGCACATATAGTCACAACATGCATTAGTAATAAATTTAAGAATAATGCATATATGTTAAAAATTATTGAAAAACTATTAGTTGTAGTTTTCAGATGTTAAAGGTTTTGTCAGAAGATAGATAGTCCATTATAATTGGAACATTATTTATTGATTTTCTTCAAATGTTACTTGATAGTTTGTCCATGTTTGATGGGAACATGCCACAAATTACAATCTATTTTTTTTTTTTAATTAAAATTTATCAACTTTTATGTTTATACATTTTCAATTTTTAACCTTTTGCTTTATTAGGAACCAGTGGACGAAGCTCTCAATTTCGATGTCAGTATTGGTGCCTCTCAGGAGAAACATGTGATGACCGAAGAAGAGATGGATCAGCTGACTAATGCTATGAACGAAATTGCCAAGTCAGGTAGGTCGCCAACAACATAGATTTTGTGGAACGGGTAAAGATGTCTATCTTTATGGGATAATAATTGCTTGTATTGAGTTTAATACTAAATCGTTTAGGTGAAGTTAAGATGATAAAAGAAACTGCATGCACAAACTTACTTACCTCTTAAGCTGGGTAATCACTGTGCACTTCGGTTGTCGGCCAATGCGGTTTCATGGAGAATGCAACACCACAATATGCACGTAATGGATCTTAATGACAATCCATTCAGACTGCTATCGAAAGTCATCAGACGGAGTTTGATTCGTTGGCCAACTGTCGTACAATGCAGTCAGAGCCAGCCTTTATGGTCCTACTAGTCTTTAATAATAAAGGAATTGGAGCTGAGACCCTTGGGTTCCATGGTAGCGGCACTACGGCCGCACCACTGATAGTAAAGTCGGCAGTACGCCTGGAGACAATTCTCCGCTTTTTTCCCCTCCAGAGTAACAGTATTCATTAACATACATTATGTTATGTAATAACATACATAAAAGAATATTGTGCAGCTTATATATCTTGTAATTAGACATTAATTTTAATAGTTCATTAAAAATTATGTGTTGTAAATATAGAAGAAGATGCTCTCCTATCAACTGAATTTAATGAGGTACCTGGTATGGAAAATGGAGGTGCAGCTGTCGAGGAGGACACACTTGATTCAAACAGTGCTGAAGTAAATCTAAACATTGACCTAAATCAGTTGAGTGCCGGTGATGAGGATGAGATGAAGGATTTGTTGAATAGGGATTTCAGTAAATACACAGACGGAGACAACAAAACAGGTGAGTTTATACAAATTGAGGGTGAATCATGAATTGCGCCCCCTCTTGTGATCAAATACTCACAAAATTGGCTCAAGTGATGATATCACAGTGATATTTAACACTGTCCTTATGACTTACGTGGTAAAAACTCAAACTGAAGTTGAATACTGCCCCCATGTGGGTGGTATACTCACAGAGAAATTAAAGAGCGCATTTTGTTGTAAATTCCTACTCGCAGTGAAAGTCAACTGTACCCCCTGATGGAAATGCACTCGGGTTATAAAATGTTTATTTTAATTGAGAGTTTTTGTACAATTGTTTTTAATAAGTGCTTTAGAATAATGATATGTATCTACAGCAAAAGTATACATTTTATTTTCATTTCATTTTTTGTTTATATTTTATGTTTACTTTATGTCCATTTTAATAGTACTTGAAAGAATGAGCGAGGATGAGATTGCAGCAGAAATGGCAGCGTTTGTTGACGACATACCCTCAGACACTCCCTCAGACCCCACGCCATCTAATAAGTCCACAGTTCTAAACCCCGTAATACAAGAAGGTTTGATGCTAAACAACTTGTTTTACCTTCGATATTGCACACGCTTTGGGATCGCACTTTCTATGTATATACGTATATATCTATGGCATGGGCAACTAATTCATCATGTAATTTATGTGTAAAGTGCACACACTACACGTGTGGGAAGGTTGGGGTTGTGTACTATGCCCTGGTGTTGTTGCACGTACAGGATTCATCCCAAGATGGTACTAGAGTATTGTTATGGTTACCTTTATTTTCAAGGTTAAAGGTCATTTCATACCTCTCTTAAAAATGTATGCTATCAAGTATACACTACTTGTGTTTTCTTCGGAGGTCAATACTTTGCATGGTTATATATCCATTTCATTGCACAGCCCAGGATAATGCATGGTGGAATTTAATATTAAATGTTGTAAACATCTGTCATCAGTAAAGTGAATTGCACTATAATCATTTTAAATTATAAGTTCTTCCAAAGATCAATGACCAATTAACCAATATGATAAGAGCTAAGAAATAGCTTTTTGCAAAAATTTTATTTGTATGTTTATTGATATAATGCTTAATATTTCATAGTCCTGGGTTAGTTCCTGCAAGATGATAGCTCCTTCCAAGTCCCAGGGTCCTTGTTGCAGTCCCTATAACATCCAGGGTCCTAGTTGAATTCTTGCAAGATTCTAGGATCCTGATTAACCAGGGTCCTGGTTGCAGTATCTACAACATCCTAGGGCCCTGGTTGAGTTCCTGCAAAGTGCTAGGTCCCTGAGTTACGAAGGTCCTGGTTGCAATATCTATAACATCCTAGAGTCCTGGTTAGTGTTCTTAAAATATTCTAGGTCCCTGGGTTCCTCATTCCTGTTAAAATGACTATAAATGTGTTCCTTGAAAACTTTCTTGGTGGACCACCCTCACTAAACATGGCGTGCATTATATATTTTTTTATCCTGCACTAACCTGGTTTGATCACATGGTTTGATAACAACACTGTACATCTTGGTTTCCAGGAACCATCATTTTTTTTTTTATCCAAGCTAAGAAATACAGAAATAATTCATAATTGAATAGTTTTACTCTCTTAATATTAATTTAAAATACATGGTCACTGCATTGCTAAATATAATATCATATGAAATTTGGAATTATATTTCCTTAAACATTATAAATGAGAGTAAGCATTGGATGAATTTTTTTTGATTTCTTTCATATTGCTTGGAATTGTAACTTCAGAAGTCAAAGCATGTTTTCATTATAATATTCAGTATCCATTTATTATATATATTTTAATATTTAACTAATAATATACATACTTTAAAGATAAACTGTCTGTGCTAAAATCAGAAAATTTTCAAAAAAGGCAATTAAGATATTGAATTGTTTATTTAAAAGGATTATGAGACACAAATCAAAACAGTTTAGTGTTTGCTGATTGGCCAAATATTCTATGAATATTCTAGAATTTATACTAAACAACTATTATTAAGTTGTCAGCCTATAACAACATTTGAACCTGTTGATTGTTCAATTCAATGTTAATAATTTAATTTTTAAAATACAAATTAATTCAAACATATAAGTTAAATATTCAAATAAATTAATTAATATATTTAATTTTATTGTTTATTTTAGAGACAGTTTCTCTTAAATGTATAGATTTTATTGGTTTTTAAACATAAAATTAATACTTTAACTAATGATACTTGGTATGTTTTGGTTTTATTCTTGGTACAAATGGATTTTTTTTTTGCTAGTACAATGTTTATGGTGTTTTAGAACACTTAGGTGATAGAGACAATGTTATATTTTTGTGTGCTTGTCAGCTGTTGTTTATGTAAACTTTGATTGTGTCAATATGGAAATGAGTCAGATTTTTCAGATGCCTGCCATTAAGTCCTGTATTCACAGAATTACTCCTTGGAAATGCCAGGACTTTCCTCACAAGTATTAACAACGTACACTTAGTTTTTATCTGTCAAAATAAAATGTTTGATTAGATTATCTGATAAGTTAAGCATTGTCTTACTTATTTCAGGAAAGACATTATTTGTTTGTGATCAGATAACATATAAATTAAGCATACATTCATTGTCTGATCTGAAAGACAATTCTGACACTGTATGCCTGACTTAAGTATCCCTTCCTTAAAGCAACAGAAGAGCTGACTAAATCTGAGCAGGATGCTATTGATCAGTTTATTCGGGAGTATAAATTGGAGTTTGGAGCAGCACCAGGTGGCAAAATATCAACATTAGGTTTGTCAAACATTTTGGGTTGAGCTGCTCATTAGGAATCATGTTCAGAAATGGTTTTCATGGATTGATGTAACATCAGCAGTGAGAGTTGAAAAAAAAAAATCAGAATAAGATTGGTCTAGAGATTCATTGCATCGGCAGCCATAATGTTTCATGTCATGTAAGCAGGTGCTTTGGTGTTCATCTCCTCTGATGGAAGCTTAGTGAAGGCTTGTAATTTATCTTGAGATCATTAACTATATAGATTACATTAATTGTAAACAAAGAAAAATGTAAGCATCATTGTAGACTAAAATATTATAGCCAGAAAATTATGCTTGTGGTTCAACATGGATATCCCTTCATGCTTTGCTCTTCACCGGCTACAATAGGCTTTTTCCTCCAAGAGATGTTGTATTGTGTAGGTTTTCTACCTGTCTCTTATACACATCTAGATGTGTATAAGAGACAGTATATATATATATATATTTATTTATCCTGCTCCTTAAATAATCGGTCAACACATTTTGGTGCAATATAGGACGGTAATGATAAGCAACTACCAACCATTGGAAGCAGTTGATTTTAAGTGGAAGAAAGTGGGAATTTATACTAATCTATGTTTCAAAAATCTGCGTTCCTCATTTGATCAAACAAATCCTAAACTTGGAAATCTTGTCTTATCTATTCTATACTATATTTTTGATTTCCTCCTATCCTGGTCAATTTATGTTTGTTTGTTTTTTTTAATGTTGTGTTCTTGTTACTGCTCCTTTGTTGAGGTGTTCAGTAATTTAATTACTACTAAAGCATAACTTGGCATTAAAAACACTTGCTATATAAATGTGTATTTACACATTTGCATGTTAACTGTTACCCTCAGTACTAATCTGTAACCTGTGTTAAGCAGTTCTGAATAGTCATGTGATCTGTATGAACCAATCACATTCAAAAATTAAATTATAAAATCTTGTATTGCTATGCAGTCCCTTATTGGCTGTGTTTTAACATGTGATTCAATATACAGACACATCCTGTGCTTTGCAAGACATATCCATGGTCTTTAACAGAAAACTAATTATAAAATATAGAAAATGGTGTTCATCCAGGGCTGCTGAAAAGTATGTTTAATTGGAGAAATATTTAATCAGAGAAGGACCTGCAATAATATCTATAATAATTATTACAATTATGATAATTTGTGATTTAATTACATTAAATGAAGAATATTTATGTTATTAAACAAAATAAAAATGAATAACAAAGACAAAAGCAAACTTCTGATAACCCTTTAGTAATTTGTTTGTGACTACACAAAAACTGCCTTGTTTATGCCGTATTTATTTTTGTATCCTAAGTTTGTGAATAAAAATCTTTGTTCTTAAATTTGTCTTTGTATTAGCAACCCAATGCATGCATTGTTTCCTATTTTTATTTGAATTTATGTTTCTGTGTACTGTAGACTTAACCCCTGATGTTCACTGCACACCACCTCCTGATACAGCGCCCTCTTGTGATCAAGATGTCTTCCAGAAACCATATCTTAATGGGCATGATAATAATGGTAGGAGATGAGTTTTCCCCTTTAAGCAAGCTATTTTTATCTCTATGTATCTACATATCTGCTTAAAAGCACATGTGTTTTGTATTATGCAAATGATATGCAATATTGTATATAATTATGTTTATTTTTTTTTCAGATCTATGCTTCTGTTTCTATACTATACTAATGCTCTTTAATTTCAGCTTTGATTTTTATTTTTGTTTTGCAATGAAAAAATGAATGAAATTACATGTGTATGTCTTTTTTTCTTCTTTTCTACCTCTGACCTATGTTCAGACAATTTGAATGAAGTCCCTATGACCCCAGAGATTAAGATTACCAATCATGATGAGGCTTTCATATACGCAGGTATATACTAGCTTATGATTGGCTAGTGCATGCCACCTGGATTCCCATTCTTGCACTTGTATGAGTAATGTACATGGTTCCTCTTGTAGGTTTATCCTTTTGGTTATGATTCTGTGTAGCTTGCTATTTTCTTATCTGCAGAATGCTCTGGTTCATGTAGTGAGTACTTCATCACCCTCCCTCCCCTATTACTGTACATGTTTCAGCACACATGTGTACTGGTACTTTATGTACAAAAGCATGCCGCCACACCCTCCTCTTCCCCACTACAATTTATGAATGATCATCATCTAAATATAGGCCTAGCTCATATTCAAACTAGAACTAGAGTTTATTCATCTCCTTTATATTTTATATACACTTTAAAGACACGTATAGATTTAGATAGATTCCCTGTTAAGATATAATTACCCAATTTGTCTTTTTTTATTTCTAGGCTAAAGACAAGTTTTAACATGTGTAGATATCTCTAAATCGTTCCTCACCATTTTGCATACAATTTTTCATGTTCCTTTAGTTTATTGCATTTATTGACTTCATGATAGGATATTGAATGGATCTAATGACACATCATCTGTTTCCCTACTATTTTGTCCTGGTGTCTGTAGTGTCATTTGTGCAATTTGTTTATATACTTATGTAAAAATTTACTTTTTATTATTATTATTAGTAGTAGTAGTAGTAGTAGTAGTAGTAGTAGTAGTAGTAGTATTTATTTTGTTAATGTGGAAGTGTTTTGTACAACTGTAAGGTCTTCAAGTGAGCTTTCTGTCTGACACTAGTTGTATTTCCCCTTCCAGGCAGTTGCACACCACCTAACTTTTTGACTGCTCCACCCAAACCCCACATGTTAGACTCCTAGATAAGGAACTGTGCATTGTCCTATGTCCTTAGTAGTATAAATGGGAATTGATAGGAAGTGAATGAAATCGGACCAGTACAAAATTAAGTCGGGAACTCACAATCCCAACCGCTCTCTGTGCATGACGCTGTCTGTAGCAGTCATTAAAAAGGATCTGTTGTGCGTTCGTCCTCGCGTTGCCTTCTTCATAGAATCGCGTCAGGCGTAGTAAGTGCCCGGCTTTATCCGCATGACAAGGAATACTCTCTAGGGAGGGGAGAAGGTCAGACATTGTGCATGTCTGTTTATGTATCAAATTGCAAGGGATAATAATTATCTGCACCTCCCAATAAGATCTCTATATAAGTGGAGTTGTGCAATGTTATGCTAGATTATTGTTGTCGCTGTTGTTGTGGTTGTGGATACTTATATTCCAACAAAGAACATATATGTTTATGTGTTATATCGCTATTGAATCTTTGTAATTTATTTTATTTTATTAATTTTGTCAATTTTTTTTTTATTTTTTTTTTTTATTGTATTCCTCTAGGTTTGTTTTTGTATTTTCCTCTACCAACTTTCTTATCCTTAATTCAGCACCGATTAGTAAATAACTTTTTTTATCTGACAGCCTGAACGGTATAATGCATAATCATCATCATCATCATCATCATCATAATCATCATCATCATAATTATATCATCTTCATCATCATGTTTTATTTTCCTTAACCTTGTTTTGGAGTTATTCCTCTGCTTTGATGGTACAGTAATTGGTATGTACCCAGTAAGAACATCACAAACAGTGGCTACCATCAAGTTTAGCTGACTAAATATATGTTGTGTTTGGATGTTTTAAGTTTTTAAGAGATGGATTTACTTGGATTTCTTTCTTCCTTTTCTTTCATTTCTGTTTCTTCTTTTTTCCTTTCTAGATAACCATAGAAATAAGCCATTGTATGTCATTCTTTGATTACTGCTTTAAAAATCATTAAATTTGTAAAATTTCATACATTTTTGCTTATTTTGTCAGATTGAAATAATATCTTCATACCATTGTTGAGTGATTTTAAATGTTATATAATCATTCATAATTTGCATCCATATAGTTCTTGCTGAGAATTGGCAATCATTGGTAGTTCACTTTCCAAGAATTTAAATTCATCCATGAGTCTTATTGCATTGGTTTTTTTTTTCTCTAGAAACAAATGAAAATGTTGAAAGTGTTCCTTTTGACATTGAAGAGAATGAGCCAATAGCAGAGCAAGGAGAACCAGGCCAAGAACCAGTTCTGCAAGCCGGTAAGTTGATAAGTCCTAAAGATATGATGTCTGTGCTGAAACCTAAAAAAAAAAAACACTCAAAATTCAATAAACATTTGAATTTGCTAATTTCAAAAAAATCAATTTATAATGTTCAAATGAGACACAGATCAATTCAATTTTTACTAATTTATGACCCGTTTTTAAAATGCTTAATTGATGGGTGTCATTTTACGGCGGTGGCCGGCACTGTCCCTGCCTATTAACATTTTTGGCACCGGCTATTATCATAGCCTGAGGTAAAATTCATAAAGCCTAGGCTAGACGTAGGCCAAACTCCAAGCCTAGACCAGACTTACATGTAAGTAAAAAACCGTCAATCACGATATGGTAGTCTATTAACAATATCCCAATATATTTCACTAATTATTTACAGTATCAGCATTGTATGCATAAGAACTTAAGAATGTTATTTATGCATTTGTTACTTGATGAATATACAAACTCTGCAATTATTGAATTATATGTTTATATTTTTAATTCATCACAGACATTTTATCTTCTATATTTATTTATTCAAGTCATTAGTTATTCAAGATACATTGTAATTTTATATAAATTAGATATTTAGCACATTAGATTATTATCATTAGTCATTATCACCTACAATGTATTTCATTATCTATGTGTCCATTTCATCATCGTAACAGAGGGTTTCACCCAAGTACATTCAGCACCACCATCACAACCAGACGACAACGATGACACGACAGAGACAGTAGAGCAGTTTAAGGAAACCCTCCCAGATGGATCGATTCGTATTGTAACACGGCGAAAAGTGGTTAGGAAAGTCACGCAGCATGTAGAGGTTGAGGGAGAACCTGCGCTGATTGAAGGCGGTGATAATATTCAGAGAAAGTAAGTCAGTGGTGAAAGAACTTTGGGTAATTATTTATTATCCCGGCAATATCGCTTACCAATCACTGTCACAGTGGATTTGCAATGCAGATGCTGCCTCTAAGATAGGGTGAACAATTTATTTGCATTAAAAACAAAATTTAATATAACTGTAGTTACAGTTCAATATCGTTTAAGCTACCATCGTTAGTTGCTTAAAATTGCTTAAAAGACAATAAAAGCATGCAATATAGGCAGTTTGACATTTAATGTGAAACAAAAATTTGAGACCCATGCTTGTAACATTGCCTTTTCCCTTGGGCAAAATCTATCTGCATATATATCTATCAGTTCCACTAAGGAGTAGAAATGAGTCCCTGGTAAGAGGTAAATGATTTTGAATTGATTCAGGTAGTTCTCGATTAACTACACAATTGAGCAATCATCCATAGAGAATTTGGTTAAGCTTGTATTCAGTAAACCAGTGAAAGACAAACATTATTTAACATTATACAGGTCTAAGTATTAATTCAATCCACTGTAGTAGCTCTATCCAATGGGCAGGGCATGTAATCATTTACTCATGGTTGTTCAATCAATTTCATCACTTCATGAAAATATGTCTAACAATTAATTACATAATGGACCATTCCAAAGTATTTATTCAATGTACTGTAGCCTCTTTCACGCAAGGGCCCAGGTTCGATACCCAGCTCTGCATCGAGTATTGAATTCAGGTCTTTATTAATAACAAAAACGCCTAGCTCCTAGAATAACCCTCTCAGGAGCATTAGGCGAGTTAAGGACCATGTTTGTATCAGTCTGTATCTGTTTGATGTTGTAGTTAAGTCGGGTAGTTGGTACCTATGGCTGCCGCGTTTCCCCGGGGGACCCAGCCCAAATTTTCCAGTGTGTAGGCATAAATATATGAGGACCAAAATAAGAATTATTATTATATTATTGTATGTAATCGTTTAATCGTGGTTGTTTCAATCAATCAATCTCATCACATTATTTAAAAAAAATCAAATTCACAAATCTTGCTTTGTAAGTTTTAGTTTACAAGTGTAAAAATCAGTCTGCTTCAATTTTCTCATTCCAATGTTTGTTTACATCAGCAGTGGCTCTGGAAATCTTTATCATTACTTGTGCACTCATTAGTATTTTAGAAACATCTTATCATTATTGGTAATTTTTTAAATTTTTATTTTTCCTCCCTTTTCTGTTCTTATCATTTACTGTCTCTTATTTATCCAGCCATAATGAAGGTAATTTGCAATCCTTATGTTAATAACAGCTTCTGTTGTCTTATGTTGAATGTTACCTTTGAGTTCAACTACTGTACATATGTTCAGTGTTTACATCCGGGTTTCTGGTTTTCTAATAAGATATATAAATTGATTTCCAATATATCCATTGGTTCTAGTGAATATGATTTAGCATATATGATGTTGCCGCTAACAATTAAACTTAATAAAGTGCATTTGCTAATTTATTATTGGTAGGTCATGTGATGACCTAGAAGGTGTGGAGAAAATAATTCCTAATACAAATTATCGTAAATTATAATATACCTATGATTTATGAATTTATGCCACACAATATATATAACACCCAATATATATAATTTCTATATATTATACTCTATATTATATTATAATTTTCTATATAAAAAATAGGAAAAAACTTAATTCACTGTCCAAATATTCATGGTTATTATATTGCTTTAAAATTTCAATGGAATATGTTCTTTTTTGTGTATTATCTTATACTATTTCAAATTTTAAGAAGTGGGAGAAAATAGCATCCCTTCATTATTGTACTATAATGCTTATCCTTACTGTGCTTAATGTAGTGTGAAACCTACTTAATGTAACAATTAACATAATCTAGTGAATGTAGCATGAAACCAACTAGAATGTTTAATGTACTGAATGTTGCATATATGTTTTAGAACGATGAAAGTAGCATTGAATCTGCAGATTGTAGTGAGTTTTGTTTGTACAGATCTACAAATTTGTAGCGAGTTGTTTGTAGAGATCTAGATATTGTAGCCAGTTGTTTGTATAGAACTATTCTTATAAAGTTCTACAGATTGCAGCGAGTTGTCTGTAGAGATCTGCAGAAAATTTGTAGTGTGTGATTTGCACTTGTAGCATGCAATCAGCATCAGGTCACATTATGATTATTCAGTGCCATGGCATGTATTGCAATGAGTGTTGTTCCTTCAATTAAGTAACAAGAGTAGCATGTAGAGTAAGCTGAAGACTGTAGTGTCTTAAATCTGGAGATTGAAGATTAATATCTACAGAATGTAGCATGTGATGTTCTGTATGGGGCCTGCTATAAATAAATTGTAGTCTACAGAATGTGGCACATAAGATACTGAGTGTAGCATGTGTACTTTACGACACATACTACACCTGTGAAAATTCAGCGTGTAGATTCTGCTGCTGGTTTCTATAGTTAGTACCTGCCAACTGAATGTAGTGTGTACTTAATGTGAATAGAATTTAAAATTGATATACTTCAAGAATGTAGCGTGTATCTTCGGAATGCTATGTATACTATACTGTGTGTACACTTCCTTGGTGTAGTACGTACCATTTAAATGTAGCGTGAACTTTCAGAATGATAGTGTTTGTGTACCACCTGAACATTGCGTACACTCCTTTGTGTAGTGTTTTCTTTCTGAATGTAGTGCATATTATCAGATTTTGAATGTAGCTTTGGGAGAATTAGTAGTGTTGGCTGGATAAAGTGAGTAGCATCATATCAATGTACTGTGTGCAGTTTGAATGTAACATGGTCCTTCTATGGAGTATGTAGCATCAATAGAATGTAGCATATACTCTATAAATGTAGTGTGTACTTTATGAATGTGCCTTTATCAATTTGGTAGGGACCCATACCTCACTACCAACTTCTAAAATTCATTCAAATTGTTATTTATGCCTGGTGGCTCATTAAAAATTTCTTCACAAATAATTCAGTATTGACCGGTAACCGTAAAATATTATAAAAGCGATTTTATTTTTTTGTTGCAAAATACCTTTTGTGAAAGAAAAAAATATATATTTTTAAAGAAACAAAAAAAATTTAATTAAAATAAAAGAAAAAAATCTTGAAACCTGATAATTTTTTTCAAATTGATTGCTTATAAAAAAAAATTAATAAAATCAATAAATATTATTTAATGTTTATCTTTTTTTTTTTTTTAGAATTGTAGTTCAGAAAAAAGTAACAAATACAAAAGTGATCGTAGATGGTGAGGAAGTCGACCAATCCCAGGACATAAAAACGAACATTGTCGAAGACGGAGAAGAGATCGCTGATGCAACTGAACTTCGCGGGGATCTCCAACAAATTGTCGACAACTTCCTGCAAGACGAAGTTACTTTGGATGACAACCAAAATGAAGCGTGAATCGGTTGGCGTGAATGATGCAGAAGAAAATTTAAAAAATTTAAAAAAATCTGAAACATGTACTTCAATTTAAAAAATGTTTGATAAAAAGGAATTCAAATTAAGGTGTTGTAAATTTATGTGCGCTGTTATAGTTCTGTGTGTGAAGATCATTTAAAATTGATAACTGATTTATTGTAGAAATGCATGTTCGATTCTCAGTAAAAATTATACTTATAATAGTATTGAACATAGTATATCTTCAAATTAACTTTCTTGATGTGAGTAACTGTGTCGATGATAACATGTCCACATATATACGTGTAACTTATCACATGATTTCTGCCGCACGTATCTTGTCCATTTTCTGATCGTCGAATTATGGTTACCAAACTTTGTAAGTTTCATAGTCTATTGTAGTGTTGATGTGTATATCATTAAAAAGAATTTTAAAATTTTAAATAAGTTTGTTGATTAGTAATTCTAGTTGATGAAAATATTATTTGTTAGTTTCACTTGCCACTGGAATTTCCTAGATGATGATGATTTTTAATCCAGAAATTCTAGATAATAGTATTTGCACTAGTATTTGACCTTGAGGTTTGCAGCGTTACTTATACATCATGTATGTTCAGGACTACTTTGGATATTTTAATAATAATTATATTTGCCCTTGATATTGTTTATCTACTTTTTTTTAATTGTGTTGTCTTTCCATCTTATGATTCAATTTGTTTTTGTGTGCTTAATTGATTTTTTTTCTTTGGTTTTCACTACATTTAAGCCAAATCTTTCATAACATTACTGATAATGTTTGTGAAATTTGATTGGCTGAAATTATGTATTAGACAGAATAATTATGAAATTTAAAGATTGTTTACATCATATTTGTGGTCTTTGTAATTACAGTACCTAATAGAACTAAAGACAAGGTTTACATTTGTTGATTTTTATTTCAAATTTTAAATAGTTATCTTGTGAATGGAAACCTTACTTATGATATAATAAATCCAAACAATTATACTCTTGTCAAATCATTTTTTCTGGTAAATATGGTACAAATCATGAAGCCAAACAGATAAATGGAAAGTTTACCACACCATTAAACGTTGCCTTGTTTACTGACATAAAAAAAATAAAATCCTTGAATGTTCAATTATGTATAAATTGAGTAAATAGTATGTGACATACACCTTCATTACAAAACTGATGTTTTAGTATTTTATCCATTTATTTGTCATTACTCACTGCCTGTCAGATTGTACAACAGTGAAGTATATACCTAATTCATCCATATAGAGTTTATACTATTATATAGCTTGATACAATACATTTTAAGTAAAAGTATACAGGTTTTATTAAACAGAAATTTTTTCAGGTTATATCTGTGAACATCAATGAGATTTATCAAACTACTGTATTATATTCATGTCGTCACCTTCTGTGACAACTTTTCTGTATTTTAGATCAACAAGTTTTTTTAAATACAGTTATTTTTAAATTTGTATTCTTTATATGTAAACATCTGTTAATTATTACATTCAGCTTATAATATTTAAAATAGCAATCTTTTCAATCACTAGAATTCAGCTTAATTTCATACTGTACTCTTTTGGTCATGTTTTGTTTCTGGATAAAAAAAAAAACCATTGTTATTAAGGAAAGAATTAACCTATAATTTTTTAATCATTGATTTTGATTCATTTTACAATGTTTTCATATTAGATGATACCTAATAATTAATAATTACATAAAAAAATTAATATAGAAAAATATTAATGGTAATCGGTATCGTTTCCAAAAATCGTAGTGCAATTGGGTGCCAATCAACTATAGAAGATTTGGTATTTTTAAATGTACAAATTCAGTGATGTTGTTAGTTTATATGTGCCAAAGATAGTCCTGTTCTGTTGTGATGTTTAAATCTTAAAATCGTTGTTGTCATGTAATCACTTAAATGAAATTCTCACGTGTGTGGTACAACGTTTGAGGGCGTGCGTCCAGGTGGCTGGTTTGGATAATTGCTGTTACCTAGGAAACAAATTAAGATATTTGGTGATTCAATTAATAAAGCTGTCAATTGTGCATCCTATTTCCTTTGACTCTTTGTTTATTACTAGTGTCATGTCATATATATATATATATACATATATTTATATATATATGTATATATATATAAATATATGTATATATATATGTATATATGTATATATATATGTATATAAATTAAGAGAAAAAAGAGGACGATTTTGTAAGATGGGCAGCGGAGCATGTAGAGGTTGGCAGAAGGAAGACAGACCACCTAGGATAGTAGATGATGTGTCCGAGATGAAAGTAGAGTGGGTGATTTGAGCGGAGTTGGTGACGGAGTGGAGGGGGGTATTGAGATGACCCGAACCCCTTGAGGGGATAGACGGAATGATGATGATTAGGCGTACCTGCAATTACTGATCTGGAAAAAGAAATCAAACATTCAAGTCATAAAAGAGTGTTAAATTTACGAATTTATTGATAAATATTATAGGCTTACATTGGGCAGACAAATTTAGTAAATGATAGTAATAAATCGTAGCCCTGGTACTCATGAACATTTTTGGGGGAATAATTTTTCAATTGCATGATAACCCGTTTTTATGTATATTTACAAAGTACAGTAATTATTTTTTTTTTTAAATAGATAGCATCGTTACATTTTTATCATTTACATTCACATAACATTATTAATATAAATTAGCCCATTGTTAAACAATGGGTATAGCCTATGTATAGCAAACGCTTCTTTAAACAATAGTAATGACCAATTTTGCGAAATGTCAAAAATGTTAGTATTAGAAAATATTAAACCCAATTTATTACTTGCATTACAGGCTACATTATTTTCCAATATACCTTTAGGTTTACAAGGTATAAATACTGGAAAATGATAATGTAACCTGTAATGTAAGTAATAAATTAGGTTTAATGTCTTATAAGCATATTTATAATAAGTGTATAAAGTTTAATCAAGATAATAATATGTATACCTAAATGAAATAAGTAAATAAATAATAATCTACAATTATACACCCGAATAAAGGGGCAGATAGAGACTGGATTCGTCAACTGGGTTTCGGCAAAAAGACCATTATCATGGGTTCGGCAAATTGGATTTTGACAAATGGGTCAGCCCCAGTGCTAGACAAATTCACGCTAATAAGGGGTGAGCTCTGAACTAATATTTTGTAGGTATATCCTGGTAGGGCACTACTGTCCTTGGCAGCAATTTTCCTTCAGATACCTGGCTGGTTGTGCACCTGTCTATAATAGTCGGGTAGGAACAGGGGGTTCCCATGCACCACCAGGATATATTTTTTTAACTAACATTTTGTAATCCTCAGTGTCTCTTGAAAGAATTTTGATGTTCTCATAAAAAAATGTCCGATGGGGTTGTTTGGTTGCCATTTTGGTGGCCATCTTGGATTTTCAACGACAATCATTAATTTTTATAATTCATTGACTAAAAATCATATAAAATCAAATAAACCTCTAAATGTATATAGTAAGCAGTGTTTATGTTCTTAATACAAAAAGATTGACTTCGCATTTACATTTGACCAAAGATACTAGAAATACAAGATAGAGTTAAAAATGAGGCGGAAGTCGTGCCCAACGTAGGCGGCGCCCTTCTTTTTAACCATGCAAGTGTCCTATACTTCGTGCCCAACGTACAGGGCGCCCTTCTGTTGCTAAGTATATCC